TAGGTAAATCAGGGGAGGACAAAGAGCTCTTTCTGTGTTTCCTGCTTCCTAATTGCCTTCAGCTCAAAATAATCATGATGCCAATGTAGCATATCATGGGATGGCATATTTTGATCCTCTTCACTAGTTTATCTTACAAAGTCTGTTCTATTGCTTATAAGCCACAGAACTTGGCCTACTGCATTCTCTTAGAGAAAATGAGAAGCTATCTCTCTTCTCTCATTTTAAAAGAGGTTGGGTGAGGGAGGGGCAGTTTGTGAGATGAGGGGTTAAGTGATTTTTTTTTTTTGGTTTTTTTTTTTTTTTGAGACAGAGTCTTGCTCTGTCGCCAGGCACCAGGCTGGAGTACAGTGACACGAGCTTGGCTCACTGCAACCTCTGTCTCCTGGGTTCAAGCAATGCTCCTGCCTCAGCCTCCCAAGTAGCTGGGACTACAGGTGCACACTACCATGCCCAGCTAATTTTTGTATTTTTTAGTAGAGACAGGGTTTCACCATGTTGGCCAGGATGGTCTCGATCTCTTGACCTCGTGATCCTCCCGCCTTGGCCTCCCAAAGCGAAGTGGTTTTTAATAGAAGCCGTGTGTGCTGCCTCTCAGATAAGAGTCTCAGGAAGGAGGCAAGGCCACAAAGAGAGAAGGGCTGCTTGGTGGGGCCAGGCTGATGAAGACTGTGATAGGCCATCAAGATAATCAAGAGAGAGCCCAAAAGAGCCACACTCACTAGACTGACATCCTATGTGGGTCAATGACCAGTGACCAAAAAGGTTGATTCCCTGAGAGAGTCACAAGTAAGTGACACAAGTAAGTCAAAGATCACATTTCTTCTACCCTCTCTGCTGAAGAAAGCAAGAAACTTGATGAAACAGGAGGATTTGGATTGATTAAGGCAGAATGAAACATAAGCACAGAAATTTCCACTTGGATTGAATTATTTACAAATATATATTTCTTTAACTACTTGATTTGTAGAATAAAATTTATATACTCCCTGGCACATAGTAGAAGGTCAATTTACTATAGTTACTATTTCTGCTATATGTTATTTTATGTGTATATACATCTCTTTTTGGTTAATGTGATGCTTAATTATATGTGTCAACTTGGCTTGGCCATGGTGTTGAGATATTTGGTCAAACACTATTTTGCATGTGTCTGTGAAGGTGTTTCCTGGATGAGATTAACATTTAAATCACTGGGCTTTGCATAATGTCCTCTGGGTTCATCCATGTTGTCACAAATGATAGAATTTGTGTTGCTGAAGCAATTTTTTGCTGCTCAAAAAATCAACACTTTTATTTATACAAGAGTAATATCCAGTTCAGGGCTGAGGTTTAAAATCCACTTTGAATACTTTGTGAAGAGGGTTGATGATGACTCACATGCAGATGGGGAAGAGCAAGTAACATATGTGGTGAGGAGCCAGACACTGAATGGTTAAAATACTAGGGCTGTCAAAACTGAATGGAGGAAGGCTGAATAGAGAGATGATAGCTGTCTTGAGATATTTGAAAGGCTTATTGTGGTAAAGAGAATGTGCTTGTTTTGAATGGGAGTTGAAAGCATGAATATTTGATTCAATCCATGGAAAGAGGAAGTTTCTCATAGTTGAGTGTGCATCAATGTTAAGGGATTCAAACAGAAATTCAATATTCATTTTGCCTGGAATGTTGTCAGAGGATTCCTGTACGTAGAGGAATGTGGTCTTGGCACTTTTCAGTTTTAGGATAATATGCTAAGTAGGGAAGGCAGAGGCAACTAATATTAGCAAATTCCAGGAAATATGCCGAGTGCTTCATGTCATTAGAATGTCTAATGACATCAGAATGTGTCACTGAAACTGCCTAACAGCTCTGTGAGTTTAACATTGTAAGTATTATTATTCTTACTTTACAAATCAAGCTTAGTTTACTTAGTAAACTGCCAGAGTTCACAATGCTGACATATTGTAGGGTCAAGTTTAGAATCCAGGTCTACTGCATTAAAGGGCTATGTACTCTCCACCATACACTCCATTTCCCTAACATGCTTTTTCAAAAGAAAAGAACAAATTCTTAGTTTGAAGACAAAACTGTCAAGATATACAGATTTGTTAACAAAGTGACCAATGACAGGCACTGACTCATTGAAATATTTTAGCTATGGTTCTTATATTAATTTCAATGTATAAAATTATGAACAGTTTAATATATAACAGCACATGTAAAAACTACTGTATTCTAGATATATGTCCATCTTTTTTTGGTTAATGTGGTGGTTAATTTTATGTGTTAACTTGGCTTGGCCATGGTGTCCAGGTATTTGGCCAAATGTTACTCTATATATGTCTGTGTTGGCATTTCTTGGATGAGATTAACATTTGAATCAGTGGGCTTCGCATAATGTCCTCCAGGCTCATTCACATGTCATAAATGACAGAATTTCTATCTTAAAGGTTGAATGGCATTCTGTTGTGTATATACTCCATGTTTTCTTTATCCTTTCATCCATTGATGGACAGAAAGAGAAATACCAAATGGTCTTACTTATATGTGAATCTAAAACAAACTCACAGAAGTAGAGAGTGGAATGGTGGTAACCAGAGGCCGGGGGAGGCGGGTGGGAGTTGAGGTGGAATGGTGAAATGTTGGCCAAAGGATAGAAAGGATAGAAAGTTACAATTAGAAGGAGTTTTTCACAGCATAGTGAATATAGATAAAAATAATACATTGCATATTTCAAAATTGTTAAGAGTAAATTTCAAATGTACTTATTACAAAAATAATAGATATGTTAATTAGCTTGATATAATCATTTCACCTCATATACATATATAAAATATCACATTGTACCCCACAAATATATACAATTATAATCAGTCAAGATAAAGATAAAAATAAATTTCGAAAACAAAAATCACAATAAAAACTATGAAAAATCAGTGGACTATGTACAAAGATTATCCTCCATACTGCAGGTAGGCCTCATCTCATCAGCTGAAGGCCTTAACAGAGCAAAGACTGATCTACCCTAAGAAAGAAGGAATTCTGCCAGACTGCCTTTGGACTTGAACTATAACTCTTCTCTGAGTCTCCAGCCTGCCTGACTGCAAATTTTGCTCTTGTACCTCCACAATACCTTAAAACTAAAATATATCAATCTATATACATACACAGATAGTTGGGTCTGTTTTTCTAGGGAATACTGAATAATGCAGTTATTTACATTTCTTTTCTTTCTTTCTTTTTTTTGAGGCAGAGTCTTGCTCTGCTGCCCAGGCTGGAGTTCAGTGGTGCAACCTCAGCTCACTGCAACCTCCACCTCCCAGTTTCAAGCGATTCTCCTCCCTCAGCCTCCTGAGTAGCTGGAATTACAGATGTATGCCACCATGATCGACTTTTTTTTTTTTCAGTAGAGATGAGGTCTCACCATGTTGGCCAGGCTGGTCTCGAACTCCTGACCTCAAGTGATCCTCCTCAGTTTCCCAAAGTTCTGGAATTACAGGCATGAGCCACCATGCCTGGCAGTTATTTATATTTCTGTGTTTGCTCCTATGTTCCTAGGTTTCTTCTAGCTTTAAAAATCTATGACTGGAAGAAATACATACATGAACATGGAAGTAGATCTTTCCCTTGTCAGGCCTTCAGATCGACCATCCCTTTTTACCACTCTAATTGTAGCCTCCTGAGAGACACTGAGCTAAGGCACATACAGATTCTTGACCCACAAAACCGTGAAATACATGTTGCTTTTAAAAAATTCCACGAGTGGCACTTAAATTTCTTTGGGACTATATTGTGTTATAGCGGCTGACTCAAAAGGGGAGTCTGAGAACGTGGCCTTAGCCCCTGGTCACCTCTAGTTAGTGTGCACAAACCTCAGATCTGATCAAAGTTTCATTTCTTTACTTGCTAATGTGAGAGAGTTGGGCAGAAGAACTTAAGCTTCCCTTAAATGCTACAATTAAATGTCTCTATTAATCATACTGTTTATTCATCAAAATAAATACCGATAAAAGTGACACGTAGAACACACCCTAGATGTTCAGGCCTCTGGAATTAGCGGCAGCGTTCCAGCTTCCTTTCTGCTTGTAACTAAGTCCTGCTCTACCTCTTCCCAACACCTCCCCACCCCCCCATACCCCACCAACAGTTCTCTATCATAAGCTAAGCAAATCAGCGTTAGATAATTGTTAGGGCACTTCTGTGTGTGGCCTGTGCATGTGCCAGTGTGTACGCCGTGCAAGCTGGGCTGTTGGGGTTCTGGGTGTGCATACAGCCCTGGCACTGGAAACTCTGCCTCTAGCATTTTGTGGATTAACTCTGGCAGTACATAATGGGAAGAAACGCCCTCTCCAAGTGTGAGCCCTTGCCTCTTCTCATTCCCAAGGAGGTGTGTCTAGATCCCTGTGCCAGGCAGCTACTTTATAGGAGCCTCAGACAGCAGGCAGCTAACTTTCCCCAACGAACAGCTGGATTTGTGTTGGCAAATCCGTCCCTCGCAATAAAATGTTATGTGACCGTCTTCCCAGCCTCCTGTTCACATCCCTTCATTTTTTCGAGCAAGCGAACTAGTGAGAGAAGATAGAAAAGTGAAGTTAAAAAAAAAAAAAAAAAAAAAAAGTGACAGAAAAGTGAAGCAAAGCAACGGCCCGGGACTGTGGCGGGGGGCCCCGCGCGGGGACTCGGGTGGGATGCCGCAGGAGCGCCTGCCTTCCCAGCTTCTCCGTGCTCCCGCCGAGGGTCCCCGATTTCAGCTCTCCTGGCGTTCTGGCGACCTCCGGGTCCGCCCCGCCCCCTCCCCCTCCCCGCCCGGGAGCTGAGCCCGGCCCTGCGCCCACCGCCCACCCCACGCCGACCCGCGCCGCTCTGCCCTCGCCGCTCGCTCCGAGAGCGCCCGTTCGTCCCGCGGGGCGACTTCTCCTTTTCCGCCCTGGGGCTGAGGATCCTGGGTGGGGCAGCCGCGCCTCCGGGACAGCCCTGGCTGCGAAGCCGCTGGAGCCGGGCCTGACGCCGCCCGCAGCCCGGACCGCCGCACCTGAGCTCCCGCCACGCCGCGGCGCCGGAAGCGCGGGCGGAGCGCACGGGCCGGGGAAGAGGAGCCCGCGCCCGCGAGGGGGACCCGAGTCCTCGGGGAGGCGGCCGAGTCCCGCCGCACGCCAGCAGGGGTGACGACCTGCGACGCGCACCCCTCCGCCCCCGCGCCCCTGCCCGGCCCGCTCGCCCCGCGCACAGCCGACTTCCTCAGCCTCTGGCCGTCGCCCGGCCAACTTCCCTGCGAGGAGGAACCTGCCGCCAGCCTGCCCGCTCGCAGGCCCTGCGCCGAACGCCCGCAGTTCACCTTGCGCCGTCGGGAAACCCCATGAGCTCTCCAGAAACCCGGTGAAGGAGGGTCCCTTCGCGGCGCACGGCCTGGGGGTCCCCCTCGGTGGAGCAGGGGTAGCAGAGCCGGGAAAGTAGTGGAGGATGATCCTGCGACCAAAGGGGACCTCGGGGCAGTAATGTCAGCATGTAAGTCTCACCTTTAAACTCTGAATTCCTTCAGTCTTATCTGTGTTCACCCTCTGCCGCCCCCTCCCCGACCACCCCACCCGCAAGCGAAATGATTTTTTAAGGACTTCAGCTGCACAGTGGGAATAAACCGGTTTGTCTTCAGTGTGCCCCTCGAGGCACTGAGGAGTAGGACTTTTGCCAAGTGGAGTTGTGACATTTGCATGTGGCTTCTTTTTTTTTTTTTTCCGCCAGCGAGGTAAACCTCACATTTGGGCGGTGTAAAGCCTAATAAAAAGGGCAGGGCTTCAAGAATGGGGAAAACGTGTTTTCGGTTCAAATTAAACAAGGAGTGACCGGCACCGCTCCTCCGTCCAGGGGCCTGGCCCTGCCAAGAAGGCGCTCTCCGGGATCAACACCTGGGGGCTTGGAAGGTACTGGTATGCCGAGAAAATGTTGACTTTACACGTTGTCACCATTGACTGCAGAAGTTATTCTTGGATCTTTGGGGTGTTTGAATTTTTTTTTTTTAAGGTGTGCAGAAAATGTTTTCAGTGCGCATTGTAGATTAAGAAGTAATTAAGGGTTATGCCACGTTACGTGACAGGATCTGAGGGGACTTCTATAGACTTATGGGGGACGGGGGAAATTAGGGCATTAAAACAGGGAAACCTAAAAGGTTTTGCTTCCATGGAATTGTCATCCTAACGGTGAGGTGGCTCAGAGCGACCCCATGAAAGGGTCGCAAAGCACTGCCTGGCCTTCCAGAATGGAAAAAGGAAGATTGTACGGACTCAAAAGGGCCAATTTTATTTTAGTAGCCAACTAAGAGGTTTCTTTTTCTTGTAATAGATAATTTTGCTTCTGATCTTTTACTTAATCTTGAGCAGACACCGTGACAGACATTTTATCCACTTCCACTAACTCACGTACAACAGTTTCTAGAACTTGAAACTTAACTCTTCTTTCCCCAACTCCTGGATCCTTATTTATTTTCACATGAATTTACTCTTTAAGTTCGGTACCTGGAGAAAGACCTGCCCCCTGGGTCCTGTCTTTCCAAACTCTCCTAGACTTTCCATTCCCCACGTCCCCACTCTCTAACATACATTTTTAAAATAGGAGAAAGAAGGGATAGTGCCCACAAGCTTAGCACTCTCTAGTTCTGTTCCTGGTGCTGTGAAATGTAATCAGAACTGAACCACTTGTTTTCACTAAAACAGCATGTGAAATAACGCAACACCTGGGAGTTTTAAAGTTTTGTTTATGCCAGTGGAATCGACAAGGTATAACGTGAAAAAATTTATTTTGGGATACAGCCAGCATTTTCGTATAAGACTTGTTCTCATACAGGCTACACATTTTGAAGGAACATGAACTTGTTTTCGACTTCAGTTTTTTTTTTTTGAAAATATGCTAGGGTTTTTAACAGCAGACATTTGTCCAGTTTCTTTTCAGCTTTCCTAAGCATTCAGATCTTATGAGAAAAAAAGCATATTATACATAAAAGTATAAATACCTATTTTTTAAATAAGAGATGTGAAACTTATCAACAAGTAATGTAAAACTTTCCTGACATAAAACTAAGTTATATAGTCCATTTGATTTCTTCGTGATTAAAAAATCATGTCATTATAGGGTAAAAGCATGAATATGAAATCACATAGAAAATAGGACTTGGTACCTTCATTTGAGGTTCTTTATTGAGCTATTTTGACTGAAAGTTTCAATTTTTTAACAGATGGTAAGTATATTTTTTTCCATTTTGCTGTTTACTATTCAATATGGAGTGGTTTAGGATGGTCTGATTCTTTTTTAGGTATTGGTTTGTTAGAATATATGGAAAGAATTATCAACCTTTCCAAGATTAATTTTCTTACTATCTTGTTGAAAAATGTTAAAACGAGGTACATAAACTGTGTTACGCTTTAAATTATAGTAAAGTACAGAAACTAAGTGTATTTTCTGCCTCCTCCTTGTGGAGAAAGTGTATTTGTATATTGTTACACTCAGGTTCTGAAATTTTAGACTTGATGAATAAGTTTGGGAGTTGTAGTGACTGCATGTTTTTCATACCCTAGGAAATTTAGTAGATTTAGCAAGACTTGCATTAATTGGTCTTGAGCTGCATGAAGCTACTGTTCCATTTATGGCTTATATAAATTACATGACATTGTGCTTTTTCAGTGTGAATGGTGAATGAGGCTATTGTCTCTTTGGCTTATGGGAAATATTAGAAGCCTGTAGTTTTGTAGCCTAACTGAACATATTACTCTGATGTCTGGAAATAATGATTTGAAAGAGAATTAGTTTATATATTAAAAATAAACTAACAACTGCTTTTTAAAACCTGGCCATTTTTCTAACGGCCTATGTATCTTACAGAGTTTACATTTCTGATGGAATGATTGAAAGTTTCTACAGTCTATTTAGAATTTAGACTAAATAGAAAAGACTTTATTCAATGTGTGTGGTATGCATGGGCAAAAACCGTATCTTTCCATTTTCATTTCTGTTTGGGTGAGATTATTACATTATTCACGTTGGATGATGTAAAGATGCATACTAGTTGACTGGGGTGGTGCCATGTAAAGGGTCTACTGATCACAAAATGTGGCTACCTGAGTGTCATCTTACTTTCCTTTATAAGCATTGCTTGAAATGGAATTATCTGAACTGCCTTAAAAAAAGTTTCAAGATTCTTTTATTTGAGACAGAACGAATATGACAGAAGTTTAGCGTATTTAAAATAGGATTGGTTAAAAAAATCACAAATCAATGAAGAAGATATTTACGTTTGTAATAGAAAACCATACGAATGACTCGAGCATGACAATCCAAATAAAGGAAATTCAAATGAAACGCTACTGTCTATCAAAGTGGTAGTGATTAAGGCAGGTGTCCCCAAACTTTTTACACAGGGGGCCAGTTCACTGTCCGTCAGACCGTTGGAGGGCCGCCACATACTGTGCTCCTCTCACTGACCACCAATGAAAGAGGTGTGCCCCTTCCTGAAGTGCAACAGGGGGCCGGATAAATGGCCTCAGGGGGCTGTAGTTTGGGGGACACCTGGATTAAAGCAATAATATTCAGTAGTGATGAAAGGGCCGTGAGATGAAAACAGTGATAATTTCAATGTAAATGTGTTTGTATTTAGAAATAATTTTAAATCTACTTGAAGTTTGCAAAATTAAAATTAGTGCAAAGAACACACCTCTGTACCTTTTGCCCAGAATCACCTATTCTGAGTATTGGTCCCATTTGTTTTATCATTCCCGTTCCTCCCTGCCTAGCTCCCCACTAGCCCCTCCTGTACAGACACACACACATGCAATTTGATTCTGAACCATCTGAGAACAAGTTGTGTGCATAAGGGTTTAAGAGTTTAATTTTTCAGTTGAAATTTTCAAGATATTTGTAAGTTCAAATATACTTCCCCCCAAAAAATACAGAGATCCAGTGTACCTTTGACCCTGTGTAGCATTGGGAAAACCTATAGTAAAATATTAAAAACCGGTATACTGATACTATTCTTTTTCAGATTTCCTAACTTTCACATGTACTCATTCTTGTGTACATATGTGTGTAATTCTCAAGGCTGAGTTTTACTCTCACTTCTGGTACAAGGCAGTTATGCATGTTACTGTTCAAATAAGATCTAAGATTTGTGCAGGGTTGAAGAATAAATCAGGCTTTTTGAAGTGGAGGTACACCCAACTTAATAAAGGGACTTAAATTGAGTTAATAGAATAGCGCTTTTTAAAAAATACACTGCTTTGGCTCAGGAACATGATCTTTAACAACAACAAAAAAAATACAATTATAAGCAGACTTGAATAAACTAAGTTACCATTCTTTTCACTCTGGAAAAATTAAGGTATTTCGTCTGCCACTCCCCAGTTCCCTTTATGAAAAGATTTGCCATAGAAACAGAGTTGGGATACAGGGAAAGAAGTTGATTCTGACAGTTGCTAGTATTGATTGCATTAGTATCATATCAATTTCTCCACTAATACCAAAATTTTGTCACTAATTTCTTTTTAAATTGTGACTTTTTAAGAAACCAGTAGGAGTAGAGAGATGGAAAATGGTAGGTTTTTAAGATTATTTCAGTGATCCATTTGGGTAAAATAATGCCTACAAGGAATCACATCCACATTTAAAGCAATTCTGTAAAAGTGATAATGATTAAAGCAATAATAATAGTGATGAGAGGGCCATGATACGAAAACAATGATAATTTCAATGTAAATATGTATGTATTTAGAAATAATGTTAAATCTACCTGAAGTTTTCAAAAATAAAAATAATGCGAAGAACACACCTCTATACCTTTTGCCCAGAATCATCTATTCTGAGTATTGGCCCCATTTGTTTTATCATTCCCATTCCTGAAACAGGACTCAAACAAATGGGACTATAACACATACTAAAATTATCGAGACCTCAAGCTTTACATTCTAAAGCTTCCTGAAACAAGACTCAAGCAAATTGTATTTTGTGGCCTACGTAGATTGAAAAGGGGAACAAGTTTGCAGCAGAGGTAGTGTGGTTCCTGAAAAGTACGCTACGTTGGAAGCCAGGTGACAAAAAGGATCTTTTGACTGTGACACCACTGACCTATGATCTTGGACAAGTAGTTTAGTATCTTAGTTTTCTCACCTGTAAGGTGATAGGGTGTTTTTTTTGTTGTTGTTTCTTTGTTTGTTTTTGCATAATCTTTAGATTCCTTCCAGATGTAGGAGTCCATGCCTGTCTTTTACTTAAAAATGTTCCTGCTGTCTTCAATAGAACTTTGAGACCACAATCAAAATGGTATAAGACTGAACTGTTTTTTGTGTTCTTTTTCTCCTCGTAGTTTCTATTTAGAACCTTAGTAACCCTGTTCAGGATTTTCCATTCTTGGGAGAAAGTTATTTAAATCTCAGGGATGCATCTTTACTAAGTGATCCCCTGAGAAAACACATAGTACTTTCCTTCCTCTGTTCTATTCTTAATTTGTTTGTTTATCTTCTTCAGTAAACAGTAAAGTGGAGCAAAGTTGGTCTGTCCTATGATTTCTTTGGTTAGAAGTGCTTGCTCTGTTGAGTTTCTTTTCTGTCTGAAGTGATAGAGTTTTGAGACATGGAATGCCTTAAGCCATGGTGGTCATTTGCAACTGATAGGATTGCAGGGAGCTTTGATAAGACAGCTTCAGGATTGAACATGGAATCCCTAAATGTTGAAACCTTTTATAGCAAAGAAGTTGCTGGAGCATATAAACAGTATTTTGTAGCCAAACGAATGAGCAGGAATCTGTGAGTATTGTTTAGAGATTACGTGAATCTAAGAGAGGGCCATTATTCACATGTTGATAAAAGAGAATTGTCATATGTCAAAAAGTGTAAGAAGCTGGGAATTTCTTGGGCTGATACATTCTTCGATTAATATCCGTAATGGTGACAGCCAGGTTTGATTGGTCTGTCTCTTTATTTCCCTGGATCTGTGTTTCCTCTTTTGTGAAATGAGAAGGTTAGATTAGACTTCAGCTTTGGTTCTTCTGGCTGTAAACTTCTTTGAATATATAATTGTGCTTTTGTTTTTGAAGCATACTCATTCATCCAGCATCAGTAGGAAACAGGCCTATTCTTCCAAATAAGTGAACTTTCTATGGGACGGAAGTTTGTCACCTACAGTTTTAAAAGCCCCTACAGATTGCCCTGTACTGTTATTTCAAGTTCTTTTTGGTGGGTAATATCCTATTTACAGAAGAAAAGACTTTAACTACTTGCCCTACAAACCACACAATTTATACAGGCACCAGGAGTTAAGTTGGTGCCGTTCGAGAGTTCACTTGCATTATTATAATTACGACTTTCTTACTTACTAAAACATATTTCTCATTAGCAGTACTCCTTTTAATCTCAAATATTTTGGATGAATGGATTCTAAAACATAACTTGAAAACAACAGATACTCTTTAAATCTTAACTTTTTTCTAGTTTTGAATATTCCTAGTTTAGAATTTCCATCAGGAATACTGCATAATTCTATAACTTCTAGTTTGGGGGATATGAATACTAAAACATGGCATGAGTTTCAGATACTACTTAATATTTCTGTATTCATAGCAGACATGAATAACCAGTTTCATTTCTGTCCCCAGGTGATCCCAGAAGTGACCATAAAGTCAATTGATTGGTGTTGGCATGTGAGATTAATCTTGTTTACTCTTGCTTGAGTCTTTTCCTTTGATTTCACTGTGGACAGAATAACACCACTTAAATGAGAATGCCTGAAATGATAGTAATAAAAATAATAGCTAATGTTTACTGAGTGCTTGCTGAGTGTCAGGAACTATTCTTGAAAGGCGTCATCTTGTTTCATCATCTCAGCAACACTATGGACTAGGTACATTGCTGTTCCTTGTTTTACAGGTAAGAAATAGGAGGCACAAGGGGATCAAGCAATTTTCCAAGGGTTGCAGCATAGTTCATAAGTAACAAACCAGATCTGTCTGACTCTAAGCTTGTTTTCTTGGCTATAAGATGGAGATGGTCTCTTCAAGTCTAAAAATTCAGGCTTGAGGCAAGAGCAGGAGTCCTTTGATGTCCAATTTTGCTCATTTGAGTGTTTGTCTGCTTATCTGTTTAGTATTACACATTTTACCCAGGTAAGCAACCTTCAGGCTTTAGGGTAGATATTACTGTAACCCTGAAGTCTCTTATTAGTTGCTCCTCAACAAATGACTCTCAGTTACTACTTATTGGCAAAGTAAATCTCTCTTAGGGGATTTTCAGGTCTCCTGGAGATTTCTGACGGGTGCTTACTTAGCTTCCTGCCTTACAACTCTTCTGCTTACCAGTCCACTTAAAGTCCCTTTTGGTGATTGACTTCTGTAATTTCTTCCTTCTTTGCTGGTTTGCCTTTTTCAATGGTTCTGATTCAATGAAATGTATTATACCATTGTTTTGAGGCAATATAATAATGTTCCTTTCTAAATCATTATTAAAAATAATTTTCAAATTTAAATGAGTCCATTGTGCAGAAGGATTGTTGAGTTTTCAAAGCACCACCTCTCCATCTAATGTCATTTACTACTTTCTGTAATACCTGGGGTTTACTAACCATTTAAAAACATTGATAGCTGTCTTACATATAAAGACTTCACCTTTTTTGGAAAGTTAATGCTTCAGTGTATCACGTTAGGGGATAGAACAGAGCTTGGGTAATTTGGTTTTATTTTAAATATTTTGATTTGTTAAAGTGGCAGACATTAAGGAGAACATTTCCTTACAGTCTAAATTTCTGGAAGATTATAAGGAAGGTTGATATAAACATCCTTCTACCTAGATGAGCATGAGTCTGGTGAGGCGTAAGGTAAAATTGCTTTATTCTTTAATAAATTTTTTTGAATTGTCTATATACCTATCTTCATGCGGAAATCACCTATTATATGTATTTTGATAAGGAAAGTGCTACCACATGGCAAATAAAATGCGTGGATTTATTTTCTTTTGCTAATTAGCTTGAAGGAAGTGATTAGGTCATCATCATCTTTTAAGTTCCTCCTGTATTTGGAAGCAAGACTGAAAAAGGTTAATTTTCCAGTCTCTGTTGGAAACCTACCCTTTTACATTATTTGTCATAATGCTTTGCTCAGTGTTGAATGTCCTGATTGCCATTTTTCTTTCCTTGCAGGATGTTTCATTCAGATCGAATGTGGAGCTGCCATTGGAAATGGAAGCCCAATCCTCTTCTGTTCTTACTTGCTTTATATATCATGTGTGTTCCTCGCTCAGGTAAGACTCTTTCTCTTCCAAACCTTGAATTTAATCATGATGACATTGTCTGCAGCATAAGCATGCTACATATTTACGTTACTTTACCTTTACTTACTGCCTTTTTTTCCTGCTTCTATCCTTATAGGGCTTTTTTTTTTTTTTCCTGTTTATGATTTATCCTCTTTGAATTCTGTGTGAATGTTATTACTTTGATCATTGTTTTATTTTCTAATGAGTTTATTTCTTTAATCTTTGCTGTCTTTTATTTATTTACTTAGCCCGTATTGAGTGATGAGATAACTACATAAATGGCATTTTAAAAATGCTGTTTCTTCTACTGTTGAAAAAATATACAACACTTACCTCTCTTTTCAAGTTTTTATATAGTTATTTATGGAAAGTACAAACTTTACTAGTTTCATTGAACCTCATTTTATTAGCATGTTGTAACATGAATTAGGAATTGGAAATTAAGTTTTTAGATTATGCATTTAATTTACTTGATATGAAAAAGTTAATTTTAATTACAGCATTTTTGGGATTAAAGTATCTATTTTTTATAATTACATTTTTTTCTTGAACTTTGAAATAAGATCTTGACTGTTGAGAAAACTAAATTTTCTGTAAACAGCAAATTATATGAATAAGCTAATTAGAGGCTGAGGAATGTGAATGATGTTTAAAAGTAAACTGTTTCTTCATTGTCTGATTTTGTCACTGAACTGAGCAAATTTATTTTTAAGGCCATTCTATTTAACTCTTTGTTTTCTCCTGGTGTATTTACTAGACTTATTATGTTTTCCTTTAGAATAAAGCTAAAATGTCAATTAAGAAAATCATAATTCTTGAAGTCTTTCATATTTATTACTTGGAATTTAATCAAGATTTATTAATTTCATATTTATATCTATATTATCATAAATAATGCATTTTAAAAATCATAGAAATAGATTATCTGCTAAAATTGCTTATTCATGGATCAAGAAATTAAACTTGTATTGAGATGTGAAAACTTCTTTTCCAAGCCTCCAAGTATTTTAAGAATTTCAGTTACTTACTTGGAAAATACCTTGCACTTATTTAATGGCTTCAAAACAGATCTTTGAGTTAATTTTGTGTATTTGTTAGAATTTTATTGTAAAGCCATTTTTCTTATTACTTTCATTATTAGAAAGAGGAAACACACTTGTAAACAGATTGAGAAATTGGAGATATATTAGATTTTATAATGTACAGTGTTGAACTACTTCCAAAAGTGATTCTCTAGGAACCAATTACATGATATAAATTATGAGATTAACATTATTAGTTGAAGTCTGTTCACTTTCATTTTTGTTACATCATGCATTTGTATATTTTTAAGCCTTCTTGAGACTATAGCATCTCCAATTTGGACTTTTAGATGTTCAACATTTTAATTAATTTATGCACAATCTTGAATTTTCATTATTTGAATAAATGAAGCACGTGTTTTTAGGCTACAGAAAAGGAATCAACTTGTCTGGGATCAGGCTGAGGCAAGAGAAACACCTGGGATACAACATTTAAGGAGGCACTCGTTCTCAAGACCACCTGAATCAAAGTACTTACACTTGTTAGGTTATTTTCTCACACAAGATTTTCTTATTTATTTGTCATTTCTTTTATTATCCAACTATTTTTGTGTATCAGATAAGGTTTTGTGACAGATAGTTTTCTGTGTTCACTTTTGAGACCAGAACATTTTGTATGCATAGCTATGTCATTCTAATAAGGACTCACTTAAAATGCCACCACCTCACAGGTAAATGTCTGAATTCACAAACACTATTTAGACGTCATTATTGGCATTTTAATATACAATTTTTGTCTCATAAGATGATTCAGCATGGGGTTCCTTAAAATGAACTCCCACACCATTTAAATAATGCATATTACAACTGTAGATCTATCCGATATTTAAAATCTTTTTTTGCATAAACTGAAGTGTAATACTGCTATGTTTTGGAAGACTATTTAGTGTTTAACTGATACTATATCTCTGTTTACACATTCATTGTCTAACTTTTGCTTCTCTGGATAACATCTAGATGATCTCAAGTACAGTGGCTCTAAATGACATTTTGATGCTAGTGTCCCCTAAATCTGTATTATCCATCCTGGCTCATTCCTGGTCCCTAGAGTCACCTCTTGAGTTGCTGATCTTCATCTACCCTTGGAGTAGGCCTTAAACTTCAAATGTGCGAAGAGGGCTTCTAGTTCCTATCACCTGTCCCCAAATCTACTTCTCTATTAATCTTTAAAATTCATCCTTCTATCTTCCTATTCTTTCCCACTCTGTTTTGTAGACACAGTACCTCTCTTTCCCTGTCTTCCTAGTCTCCTCTTCCCCCTCACCTGGTTCTTTTTGACACTCATGTCTCAGTTTAGTTATTATCACCTCAAATAATCCTTCTGTATCCCTCAGTTCCAAGGAGCTCCACTGGATCATATCATATTCTTAGTGATAATCTGCATAGATTTTGGTTGTTGTCTTGTTTGTCAATGTTTTGTTAATTTGACTGTGATAGGTTGGGAGATTAGCAGACCTCTTTTGGTTGTCACGACTGACACTTAGTTCAGATGATTAAAATTAGAATCTTGTAATTGATTCCAATAGCATCCATAATTTGATTCATATAATAGAATTGCAGTATTAAGTTTGCTAGTAGGTAAGTTAACATTTGCATTTTCAGTTAAAAAACAAATATATGAGTTTTGTGCCCTTCCAGATTTTCAAAAGTAGTTTAGAAAGTTAACTCATGTGTCTTGACAAATGATGACTATAACTTTTAATAAGAACTACACTAAAATAACAATTTTGAATATTTACATTCATGCCATAGAAGTATGCCTTAAAACAATAAAATGTGATTTTTTTAACCCACTATCTTGACACGATTTAGAAAAGTTGACAACGTCCAGAATAATCAATATTTTTGGGAAAAGAGTGTATACTGACACTGTTGACTCTATCTTTTGGTAATTAGGTAGCACATAAAAAATTAGGAATATGCACATTGGTATATCACTATCATATGTAGGCATATACCCTATAAAATAAAAAACACAGATATATAGAGAAATCAGTATCTCTGTGTGAACTAGCATCTCAATAGCAAACAACTGGTAAAGACTAATTGTTCACCAAAAGGGGGTTGGTTATATGTGTTATTTTACATTTGTTTCATGAAATACTGTGCAATGCTTCAAAATAATGTGGTCAAACTGTCTTTTGTCTTGAAAAGCTGTTCATGATGATAATGTTAAATTACAAAGCAAATTATAACCAGGCACTGATTCATACCTGTAATCCCAGCACTTAGTGGGGCAGAGGTAGGAGGATAGCTTGAGCCCAGAAGTTTATATTGTAGAACAATATAAAATTATCTTAGATTTATAATAGCTTGCATTACAAACCTGGATGTATTATGTATCTTTGTTTGTATAAGACTATGTAAACATGTTAATAAAACATGGAATGATACTCATCAGACTTCTAAAATGGGTTATCTCAGACGCATAGTTTGGAGAAACAGGAGGGATGATGATGGAACTTCATACACCTCTGAATTTTTTGCCTTGTTACAGCAATCAGGTATTACTTTAGTAATCTGAAAAAAAGAAAAAAACTGATGAATTTCTTTTTTTGAAAAAGCCACTTAGGCTAGACATGGTGACTCATGCCTGAAATCCAAGCACTTTGGGAGACTGAGATAAACGAATCACATGGGGTCGGGAGTTTGAGACCAACCTGATCAACATGGTGAAACCCCGTCTCTGCTAAAAATCCAAAAAATTAGCCAGGTGTGGTGGTGCATGCCTGTAGTCCCAGCTACTGGGAAAGCTGAGGCAGAAAAAACCCCTTGAATCAGGGGTTGCACTGAGCCATTGCACTCCAGCCTGGGCAACAAGAGTGAAACTCCACCTCAAAAAAAAAAAAAAAAAAAAAGCCACATAAAAAATGACCAGAGAGGTGTAGAAGTGTATGAATATTTAAATTTTGTTAGTTACTTAACTGTTACTGTGGCTCTTTCTTCACTTAATAGGAATTTCTAAAAGGAGTTTCAGATAATAACTTCTTTTTTGTGGCCTAACACTCCATGACTCCGAAGATGAATGATATCTTGAGCAGACAGAGGGTTATGGATTCAAGTAGAGTGGGAAACAAACAGCCCAGAGCCAATACATTTCTAAGCAACCAGGAGCCTGTTTCCACACAGATCGTCTTAGTCATGAGCAGTGAGGGAGAAGTCTCCCTTCTCTTCTGAAAATCAATGATATCAGCAGATTGTTTCAAAGCACAGTGTTACTCTGATATTATGAGACATCAACAGCTTCAAGGGGAAATGTTTCTGAAAGTACAATCTAGCCTGAATTGTGTGCTTTCTAGCCCAGGACAGAGCATAGTTCTGGAAGGCAAGTGATTGTGTAGAAAGAATCTTTTGCTTTTTTGTTTATGTGTTAATTTTTTATGGTAATAAAATGAGCAATTATCTAGTTTCAGTTACATTGCAGTATCTATTTAAGAATTAAAGTTTGGTGAAAAGGCTTTCAAATGTCTAGAAAAATAATCCTTTTATGAATGTGCCCAGTTTTTGTAAAAAAATTAATGTGTACTGAAAATTACTAAATGTATCTTAATGGTCAAAAATAAGGCCCTGATTGTACAGACTATTTTGCATATAATGATAAATATGTGTATGTGTGTTTCACTCAGAATCAAAGTGCTCCAAATCACTGTCTGAAGCTTTCAGCTAAAAAGCTGTTTTTCCATTTCAGACCTCAGATTAGAAAGCATCAGTGTGAATCAATAAATAAAGCCTAGAAAGTTTTATACAGATATGTCCTTGAGGCAACATTCTAGATAGTTTCCTTCATGCACCTTTGGATGGTCTGAATTATATATTATTAAATATGAAATCATATATGAGGGATCATAAAGCCAATTACATAAAAGTAGAATGGGAATGACCTACCTTGTCACCAAAGTGACAATC